CAGTAGAATATGATGATTGGGGTACTTTATCATGACCACACCGCTATCGCCGTGCCAGCGCCGTGCCGGAGTTCACACGGACGAGCCTGTATCGATCGACTTTGCGGTTTCCAAACATTTGAAGTCTTATTTACTTTTTATAGCGTTTTCTAGGGTAGTGAGCATTATAGAAGTTAGCAGTTTGTCACAGATATCAAAATGACTGTGAGTAGATAGTGCATAAATGAAAGGGAAGAATTGGTAACAAAACTTAAGCTTCAGGACTACAAGAGCTCTAGGGCTTTGCAACGCAATAAAAAGATTTTTGCGAGGTTTGAGAATATTCGTGATTCCAGATCTCCAGGGAAGTGGTCGAATTTAACACAAATAACACTACGTTAAATTGGCACTTCCTATCTTATAAAAACCTTGGCTCCCAACAAGTCATTCGAATTTTTTGTACAATTTTCAAGGGATGCACTTCTTGAATGAACGTAATGTTTTGACTGTTTGTTATTGACGGTAAGTTGACTAGGAAGTTTCAGTCCGTTTAAGTGACTTTAGAGTGTTTTCCTTTTCTTACGAATCGTGTTTTATTACAATGCGCGTTATCAGCTCTCATTGCTGCGACCTTGTCGCTAGATTTTACTGCTGACCGACTGAACCACAACTGATGTACGAATGTATAATTAATGTTAGAAGGATCTGACCCAAAGAACTAGTATAAAAGGGGCCACTATCCAAATCCCACAGCGCAATGATCCACGACGAGAAGCACTGGGAAGCCAAGGCTCAATCCCTCAAGAGGATTGCCTTCCTTGGGGTTTCCCTCTCCACCGTTGCTACTCTAATCTGTATCATTTCGGTGCCCATGCTGTATAACTACATGCAGCATGTGCATTCAGTTATGCGGAATGAGGTCGACTTCTGCAAATTGCGCTCGGGTAACATCTTTAGGGAAGTTACCCGCACCCAGGCAAGTCCTTTAAATCCCCTTCTAGTGATTACATTTGATATCCTCTTTCATTAAAGGTGCTGTCAAAGGAGGTCACTAGAACCCGCCGTCAAGCTAGAGGATGCTGCGGATGCGGTG